GGATCACATTTGCACAGTGTCCTCTTCATTAGCTTGGCCATCCTGTTCCGTGTGGCATTTCAGTTCTACCTGGCTGAGAAATACGTCTAGAGAGATTTTTTAAAAAACATATTTATTTGCTAAAATAAAAGAATAGTTTATCCTCATAGTTTTCTGTTAGGATATTTATTATGTCCTCTTTGAGTATTTATGTTACTTGTTAAACTGTTTATGATTCTGAAGATATGAGAATGAGGGAAACTGATTTTTAAAAACAAATGTTGTGTCTTCATGTCTCTTTTTAGGGACGGTGAATAGATGTTTTACTGATATAGTACAAAAAATGAGCAGAGTTATCTTGTGCAAGTCTCCTCTGTAAGCTATCAATATCATTTTAAAAAGTTTAACCATTTTTATAAAGCAGGAAAGCTATTAAAAACTGCTAATAAAAAATAGGTGCTTATTTTCCTGCTAATACTAATTAATGATAATGCATGCTTATGTTTGTCACTCATTACATGGCACTGTACCAATCAGTGGGTGACTGAGACTGAGGCACTTACACATGTAAATTAACCATTAGGCTTTTTTCCCCCTTTTTTAAGTGACTCATAATGGAAAGCTACTCTAGGTCATAAAAAAATCTCTTCTCTTTAATGCTAATGAAATGTCTCCACTCCGTATTAGCAGACTACCCTTGCTGGTAATCTGTAGCCTTCTCTTTTGTTCCTGGTGGTAATGAAATGCTGGGTGCTGCAAAAGCTGGCTCTCCAAGAATGTGGGGCCAATTGTCTTCTGTTCACTTATACTGTAAAATTACTGTTCTCCAGCAAAGCTGAACAAGTGCTGGAATCAGATCAAAAGAGTATACACTGGCACCGCGCTACACTAAGTGACTCCTGCTTTATTAATTAGTCATAGATCCTCCAAGTTAATTTACTCTGATAAGGCAGAAACATTCTGCAATATAAAGACAGCAAAGTATAACTCAGCTGCAAACCTTTACTATTTGCTTTCTGTGCTCTGCAGTTTAAATCTTAGTACTGTGTCATAAGCTACATGTTTCTTCATTTTTTGGAATCTTAGGGAATGCAAGCTATTTTTAATATTTTCAGAAACATTAATGATACACTCAAATGACCGTTGTTATCCTCTAACACTGAGTCACCTTTAATTGGTGTATATTTTTTAAAGGGAGTATATTGCGATCTAATTTGAAAGTGCAATTGCTACTAAAATTTGCAAGCTCGGTCTGTCCTCTCATCAGCAATGCCACTGGTGTTTATGCATTTGAAAAGGGCCTTCTCTGTGACTGGTTTTGCGGAAGCAAAATTTGACAATGATCCTAAGCTCCAAATTAAATAATATTAGCACCGCTTTCCTTTTCATTTAAATCACCACTTTTGAAGTTTCTGAAGCCTTTTTAATTTAGCAAATCTTTAGTAGTTTTTAGTTACTGTGTTTTCAAGTTATAGCTTGACACAGAAAAAGAAAATTGCACCTCTCCCTTTCATGATTTTGTTTTGTTCAGGTGGGAAAAAAATCATGAAACTTTGAATAAGATATTAGCTGTAAGAGGAAAGTGATTTAGACCCAGGTTGTTATTTGTGTTATAACCATTCAGTTAGTAGCTTAGCATTTTGAACAAATTGTAAGAATTCCACTAGTTTCTATGTTCTCTGACAGGGCTTTAAAATAATAGTGTGATATATTTAGCAACTGTATGTAAAGCAAGTTTTTATTAAGATTATTTGAAATATGTTATTAAATATCAAAACATTTTTACACTGAGAGTATTTAAAACTCATGTTGTTATATACTTAGGGGAAGTAGGAATGATTAAAATCAGCTTTCATTATACGTTTATTTTTGAAGTCAGCTTCCCTTGGTGCTGTATTTGTGACTTTTAAAAATTTAAGACTTACTAAGTTTACATTTTCATTGTGAATTTTAAAAATAAATAATTTTAGGAATGATGAATGGTTACATTCCACAGTAACCTAACGGATGGATAGTTTTAATCTCCATTATGCATTTTTAGTTTTGTCTGAGGTTTTTTTTTTTTTTCCCAAAGCACTGTATTAACTGTTCTTATGTTTTTTTTTTTTTTTTTTTAAACAAGGAATATTTGTGTTTGTGAAGGTTAGCAGAGGCTGCTTGGGCTGGAAGTGACTGCAGTGCCTTTTGATTATTCATGGACAGTAATAGAAGGCACTTAAAAAGAACAATGAAATTGCTTATTTCTGTGATGGGCCATCTGTTGAATTGTTTTGTGCAACAATTGCACAATAGTATCTATGTCATATCATTCTATTTTCAACAGCAGCTGATTATGTCTCACTGGCTACTTGTCCTTATTTCTGAAGTTCCATGACCATTTAAAGTCACCTTTCTAGGGACCCTGGCCAGAAAGGTATTGCAAATTGCAAACAGCCTGTGTATTATTTTATTTTCTCTCTCCTTTTTGGAGTATGTGGAGGAGGGGTGGGTGGCAGCAGGAGAAGGGAGTTGATCATGTTCTAATTAATTAGACTTCCTAAATGTTTAGGACGATTATTTATGCTTTCCACCTGTAGTTCTATAAAGGAAGTTAACGTAGAACCTTTTGATAATTTGTGTAAAAATGATAAGCTTGCAGAAAAGAGTTAAGTTTGAGAGACTGTTACGTAGTCTTTCGTGCTTGTAATTGTCTGTTCTTTTCTTCATGATGATAATTAGAATTTTTCCCTTAGAATTCACTTCCACCTTTAAAAAAGATGAGCCCTTAGTAAATTTGTTAGCGGAGAAGTGAAATTAAAATAAAACAAATGTGTTGTTGTCCATAGGTCACTGACATTGCTGATGCCATGATTCTGAAACAGCTTTTTGAAAATCTGTTCAAAAACGGGGTCGTCGTTGTGGCAACGTCCAACAGACCACCGGAAGGTAAAACGAAACATCGCACTAGCTTCATCCAATTAGGGAGAAATTAGTGAGCTTTCAGAGATCCAGAATTTTGTGCTAATTTTATTTTGTTAGTAAACCTGCTGGCTTGCTTATCGTTAGTTTTATAACTGGTTTTATCTGAAAGATCAGTCTGTACTTGGGAAATGTGTATACCCTTAGCGAACTGAATCTAGTTGACATGCCATGTTGGATACCTTTGCTTTTTTTTGGGATATTAGATATAAGCCTTTCTAGCAAAACTCAATGAAATAAAAGATGAAACACCTAATTAAATTTTAGAAAAAGACAAAGCTCACTTGCATGAGTAATTTCTATACTTAATTTATTATTTCTAAAAAAGGCCTGTGGCTTAGTAGGAAAGTCTGAGAATTAAAATACAAGTAATATTTAGACAAAAACAAGTTTAAAATCTGTCAGCTCATCAAGTGGTCCATTTAGGTCTAAGGAACCGAAAAATAATATGGTATGAGAGACTAAATGTTAACATCTTTTGCCTGGACTGCTCTTCCTCTAGATAACTGCCTGGCTATGCCCTTACCTCCTTCAAATCTTAGCTCAAAAGTTACTTTGCTAGGGAAGCTGAGGCTTGGCGCCTTATTTGAGTCTATGCAATGCAGCGCTTTTTTCCTGATACTCTTTCCTCTTATCCTGCTCCGTATTTTTCTTTTTTTCTTTTTTTGGTTTTGTTTTGTTTTTTGGTCCCAGGAATCGAACTCAGGACCTTGCACTTGCCAGGCAGGCACTTTTTCCACTGTGCTACATCCCCAGCCCACTGTGTTTATCTCATAGCACTTAGAGACTCACTGTGTATTTTACTCACACACTGCACCCCGGTCCGCGCCCCCCGCACCGGAAATCGACCTTGTGCTTGCCAGGCAGGCGCTGTGCCGCTAAGCTAAATCCCCAGACCCGCACATCACACTTTTATTTTATCATCTCCCTGCTTCTGGTGTGCAGAAGCTTCATGAGAACAGTGATTTTTGTTTCTTTACTTGCCTGTGTCCCTGAGCAGCTACAACAGTTCCTAGCTTGTAGGTGGATCTCAGGAACTAGTCTTTGAATACTGAATGAATGTATGTTTTCAGATATCCTTCTGGATGCAGTATTGAGAACAGACTTTGGGGATGAGGCTTCAAGGTTGGCATTAGGAGGCTACTTAGGAGACTGTTGCAGCAACCCTAGAGGGGATGGTAGAGCTGTGAAGTGAGCCAGAGGTGGTCATCTTCTGAGTAGGTTTTGAAGGCAGAGTCAGTAGGATTTACTGATAGAGTGGGGTGTGGCAATGGATATGGAGAGAAGGATAAGTATCGAGATTTAGGGGATAAAATGGCACCTGAGTATAAGTTGAGGAAAAGGAAGCAGTACAGTTGAAGAAATACTGTAGCTGCCACTCACTGAAGATAGACAGCTGTAGAGGTCAGGAGTCCAGAAGATAAGGCCTGGTGGAGGAGAACATGTATCTCTCCCTCTGCAGTAATACTTTGGTCCCTTTGGTCCCTTTTGCTTCATTCATCTCATGCCCTGTATTTTAGTTACCATTTTTCTGGGTAAGATTGGGAACTGTTCTTGGTGATGGGGGTTGCAATCACACCCTCATCTTTTACCTGTAATAACTTGCTGGTTTACAGATAAATAAGACTATCAACTTTAACATAACCGAAGAGTATTTAATACATAATTATTGATTTTAATAGAAAATAATTGACAGTTGAGTAAAAGCAGTATCAACACCAGAAATTAGGAACCTAAGAGAGTAAATAGTTGTGGAGTAGCATGGTCTGGGAAAGTTTTGTGGAAAAAAAGAAAGGTGAGCAACACTTGAAAGGCAGAGAATCAGGCACCAAAACCCGATTTCCTGTACATCACTATGTTGTCCTAGTCCTACTTGCGGGGTCCAAATCTTTGTTCTCTGTTCCTGCATCTGGGGAAACCCAAAGCCATCGTCTGTTTATGATCACTGCTTTAGTTTTTAGCTTCCTGTTTGCTTTTTGGCCTGTAGGGATTTTCTTTAGTTTCTTGCTAGCTGAAACATTTCTAGTGTCTTGTAATTGTAGTACTGTCTTATGTTTTAGGGGATAATCTGATTAAGGCATAGAAGGCAGAGATCTTGGATCCAATCCATGGGAATAGGTAATTACTAGAAAAGTTTCAGGTGAAATATATACACAGTTTGTAGTCTTAGTTTTACAAAACTTCAAATAAATGACTCATTCATCAACTTGTCACTTAGGTAAATACTTGAGGTGACCATATACAAATAGTCATATTTTTTACTTTTCAAAGATTAGAGTGTTGGGTCATTTGCAAAGCTAGAAATAAAATCTACACTTTAAAAATTTTCCCATATATGATTATCATTTTTTATGTTCTCAAACAAATTTTTGTTAATTTTCATGATATTCTAGTGAAAACAATAGTATTGTAAAATTTAATTGAATGGAGACACAGTAAATTAACAGACTGTTGATTAACTTAGTATAGAATCCAAGCTGAGTATGGTGGTGCAAGTCTCTAGTCCCAGTACCTGGGAGACTGACACAGGAGACTTGCTGGGAGTTGGAGGCCAGCTTGGGCTACATAGTAGTTTAAGGCTGGCCTGGAATACATAGTAGGACCAAGTCTCAAAAAAAACAAAGCCAAGCAAAAAACGCACAAAACCCCAAGCGAAACTAAAACAATTGGAATTAAATTAATAATTGAACTTGAGAATTCTATTCAATAAAAAATAGTAATACACTTTCATGAGTGAAATAGACTACAGTATGTAAATTGAAAAGATGGTGCTTTATTGGCAGTATAACACAAGGTGTTAAAAAGAAAAGGGCCCTTGTTGACTGAACCTAGAACTGTAAATACACTGAAGTCTGCGTTTTATTTATCTTTTGTTGTAATGAAAATGCATTAGGTAGTGTTAGAAAGTCAAGAATAATCTTGTTTTCCTTATTTTACCAAACAACAACATTATGATTTCTACTCAGATTAGAATTTCTATAATAAGTATCTTTTTTTTTTGTCTTTCTGAGACAGGGTTTTACTATGCAGTTCAGGCTGGTCTTGAACACACAATGATCCTCCTGCATCAGCCTCCTGAGTGCTGGGATTACCAGCATGCACCACCACGCCTGGCTTTCCATAGTAAATGAAAGATTAGGCAGCACTAGAAAGTTAGCTACTAAGTACATGCATGCATATACGTATGTACATGTCATTGTAATTTATCACTTGAATGCTTAGAAAAAATCCAACGAGCATTAGCATCAAGGCTGAAAAGCATTTTGCAAAATTTAACATCTTTTCTTATTTATAAAACATAAATACCTAGGTTTCTTAATATACTAAGTGTATCTATCTCAACGGAAAAGTCAGAATAATGCTTAGCAGGGAAATTGGCCGCATTTCCACTACAGTCATAAGTGAGTCAGAGCCGACCACTATCACTTTTAACACTGAATTGAATTATAGAGAGACAGATTATGAGATCAACTCAGAAGATAGGAGAACCCAGTAAAAGTCACATCTTCTGATTGCAGAGGTACCAATGTTAGACTTAGCACTCTTTATCCTAAATTGTATAAACAAAACACCCTAATATGGGAATCATAAAAAGTGCTGCAGCGTTAAATATGATTATTGAAAAGTAGAAGGATGACATCTTAACAAATGATCTGCCAGAGCCAGGAGAGATATGTTTTAGGAAATTTCTACTTTGTATTCTTTAAAAGTCAGGAGAACTTAGACTCTGAATATCAGAAGATCTCAGATGAGAGAAGACAACAGATTGAACTTAAAACTTATTGACTGGGGCTGGGGATTTAGCTCAGCGGCAAAAGCGCCTGCCTGGCAAGCACAAGGTCGTGAGCTCGGTTCCCGATACTGGAGAAAAACCAAAAAAAAAAAAAAACCAAAAAAAAAAAAAAAAAAACTTATTGACTGATATCTGAAATAAAGTAATGCTAAATGAATGAGATTAAATTAATTGAAATTAAATAAATTAAAATCAGCAATATGCTGGCATGGTGGCACATGCTTATAATTCCAGCACTGCAGGAGGCTGAGGCAGGAGGATGGCAAATCTGCATCCTGCCTGAGCAATTTCGTGAGACTATCTCAAAATAAAAATTAAATGAGCTGGGGAGTAATTTAATCTTGTGATTATCAGAGTTTGAATGACAGTGTCATCATTTGTGGCTCTGATAACTAGGGATATGTACAATCAAGTATTTTAGAATTCAAAATATACCTTTTACTTTAATTACAAGAAAAAGACATGAAAGAAAAGGTAGTTCTTAGAGCAAAAGCTGGAAAACAGCCATAAAGTCAGAACAGAAAGCATGGTTTAGGATCAGACATTTCAGTGACAGAAAACATAAATGGGTTAAGCTCCTCTTTTAAAAACTAGAACTTCTGAGATGGCTAAGTAAATTTCTGGCCAAATTTCCTCATGGACAACAAGAATAAATTGTGAACAGAACACTCAACATAATTAACTGAAGGTCCTAGAGTGTCAAAACGCAGCAGATTGTAGAGGGGAGGGAGACAAAACTCGGAAGAGGTCCAGTGTAGAATTTTCAGTGTTTTTATGACTGTTGGCCCCAGAGCAGGGTGGAGTCAGTGCTGCGCCGGTGCCTGGAATTCTGGTAGAAAACCTGCGGTGTGTATAGCCTGAAGAAACAGGTTGGCGTGAGTGCTGTTACTAGAGGTTGGGAAATAGGTCCCAGAGAGAACTAGACTGGTATAACTCTGAATTCTGTTGGTAAACTCTGCCCCAAGCTCTGAGCTCTGAACTGTGCATGTGCAGGTTAGACTACAGGCTGTACAATGAGAGATAAGAGTCCAGAACTGAGAGTTGAGCTACTGCTCAAGAGAAGAGTTTGTAGTTTGAACCTAACCAATTTTCTGCCAAAGCACAAAATAACAGTACTTCAGCTAGTAAAACAGAATTCACAGCGTAACATTCACAAGGTCCAGCATGCAATCCA